GAAATTAGTGAAATAGTCTAAAAAGAATCTGTAGAAAAGGGTACAATTAGATTATTTTGATTTTATTGAGATTAATGGTATGAAATTATCTGACCCTAGGCAAGTCTATGTACAAATTTTAAAGCAATTATCTGGAAAAATTTTAACATGGGAACAAGCACATAATATATTAGAAAAGAAATTTAATAGCAATACTAAGAGACCTATGACATTGTTGCTTGTAGATGAGGTATATTACGTACATATCTTTATTCCTTATATGAAATAGGGTATCTAATTTTAATCTATCTCGAATAGTTTTTGTCTTTTCTACATCAATTAATTTATCTCATTCTATATATAAAAGTATCATTATTTTGTATCATATTATCAATAAATGAATAATTTAATGAAATATTTTATATTTTTTTTGTCAAAATAGACTAGAATAAAGTATAAAATATCTTATAAAATATTGATTTTTTTTAATAACTTTATCTCAATATTTTTACATCCAAAATAACTGGATGTCATGTTATATAAAATTATAAAAAATATTTAAAAAATTATATAATTCTATTTAAAAAAAAATATTACAATAATGCTACTTGTATATGATCATGTTGTTTCCTCAAAGCCCTACAACTTTTGTCTGAAACATTTTTCAAGAATATACATTAAAATTAATATACATTATTAATATACATTAAAATATGACAATAATGTATTATTTAGATATTCTTGATGTAGATAGCTAAAATGGGATACTCCCCCCTATATACTTTTAATTTTTATTTTGTTATGTTTTAGACTATGTTAACTATTCTTTATTTTATAATTTTTTCTTTATTTTTATTGCATTGTCTTTATTTTAATTTTTATAGCTTGATTTATTATGTACAAAACGGCAAGATGTGATATATAATCTATTGGATTGGCCTACAAAAGCTTCTGCTCGATTAGTAGTTATCACTATTGCTAATACTATGGATCTTCCAGAAAGAGTTTTAATGGGTAGAATTACATCACGATTAGGACTTACACGAGTAACTTTTCAACCATACAATTATAAACAATTGCATGAGATAGTGTTAACTAGACTTAAAAATACAGATATTTTAAAAAATGATATTATACAATTAATTGCACGGTAAGTATTATATTTTCTTTTTATTTAAATAGAATTTTATTTAAATCATTTTTTTAATAAATTGATATATATATTTAATTGATATATATATATTTTTTAATGTTATTGTTGCATGACTTACTACAATATATTTTGTATATACAGAACAATTCTTAAAATATTTAGCCAATTTTTATAGTTTATAAATTGTGTACTTTTTGATGATTAGCTATTCTCTTGTAGAATTGTAATAAAATTAGTGAAATTTAGACTAAATATTTTAAAAGTTATATTAAAATTATTTGTAATATATATATATATATTTATTTATAATTATATAATATAAATTATATTATATATATATATATATATATATATATAATAAATAAATTATTTATATATTAGTAAGTATCAGCAGTATCAGGTGATGCTCGTCGTGTCTTTAGACTATTT